AACCTATTTAACATCCAGAGATTCTTACAGAAGGAACAACTCCAGCTGATGTTGCATTCATTCGATGTCTTCCTAAATCTATATCTAATTATAAATTTGTAAATATTTTTCATAAATTGTAGTGCTCAAAACCTAAAGAGACAGTTGCTTCAGTCGATCTGTTCTGCTTCTGCAGCCAGACACTAAGCCAATCCAATAAAAGTACAGGCACTGACTCTGTATGCCTTAGTAAACAGCCATTTACAGTATCGATGCATAAAATGTAAATAGTAGGAACTTGAAGTAATCAATTGTAAATATCTTTTCACTTTATTTTATTATTATAGTTTGAAGAATGCCATAACTGTGAAAACCAGTGCAGATTATTATACATGTGCAACACTGTTAAACCATTTTTCAGTAAGATAATTGTAATTTTTCCATGTGTTTATTGAAAAGGAAAAAGCTGACTAATCACAGAAATAATGATTAGTTGATTAGAAACAAGTGCTCAACTAGAACATTTGGAATTTGTGTTACAGCAGTTCATGTTTTCAACTTAAATATCAAATATTACAGAAAGTTAGCAAATCGGTAGCAAGTATGCAGGTGCTTCAGTATAGTGGCATAATCATCAACAGACACGTTTGTTTTATAAGAGGTTAAAAGTAATTTGTTTTAACCAGCGTTTCAGGATCATGAGGACATTTTCAGTCATGTCTTGGTGAAGCAGCAAAGAAAAACGTGTTTCTTGATTATGTAAATAAAAACATTTAAGAGCATATTTTAGCCAAGAAAGCTCATTAGCAAATTCTAGTTTAAGGCTTCTATAGGAGAACAACAAGCAGACATGTTTCAAACTTTAATTAAAGTGCTCTGATCCTGGATCTGGGAAGGTTCTGGAGTGGCTGGTCTGAGGAGCTGGAGAGTGATGATGGAGAAGCAAGACAGAACATCTTCAGAAGCTCCTGTAAGACAAGTATAACAGTCGTTAAAAAAACAAAACAAAAAAAAAAAAAAAAAAAAAAAAAAAAACAATAGTGTGGCCAGGTGGACAAACGAGGGCTCGGGCGGGATTCGATCCCCAGACTCCCGGGTGAGAGTCATACGCTCTAACCAGTCAGCCAAAGAAACATCACTTTGACCAATCAGCCAGGGCGCATCATCAATCGGGACGTTGCGACAGCACACACACACACACACACACACACACACACACTGTCATAATAGTAAATACTGAAAGTGGATGAACTTAAGAAGAATGGAGTTTTGGACAGAAAGAGCACTGATGTTTCAGCTGGACTCACGAGCCACGAGGACAGACTGATACGGCAGCCACACTTTTAAGTAATCATCAGGTCTGACTGAAACAGCGTTTCTGCCTTTTACAGGTGGACAGAAAAAATAATAATGTTGACACATTGTTGATAATATTACTACATTTCAAGGCTTTTTCAATACAGTGAAATTAGTTGAAACAGAGCCGAGTTGTATTAGAAAACAGCAATCCGCACAGCCCGACAGCCCGGCGAATCTGGGATGAATTAATGCTGCCTCAACCTCCTCGTCTTTCATTGGGTCACTGGAGTTTAAATTAAGTGGATGAGAAACCCATGGGGAGGGCTCTGCATAAATGAGAGTAAAGTTGAATTTTAAACGCGTTAAAACTGTCACAAAGTGGCGTTAAAAGCGGCGTTTTATGTCACAGAACGGCGAAAAAAGCGGCGTTCCATGTCTGTACCAAACGCCGTATTTTACGCCACCCACACAGAGAACGCGTCTGGGATTAGGGTGACGTAAAAAACGGCGTTCAATGTCCGGAAAAAACGGCGTATTTTACGGGCGTTCTACGGGACCGTTCAGAACGGCGTAAATTACGGCGTTCTGGCAGAGTTTTCGCCGTATTTTACGACGTCTTGGCACATCAAACGGCGTTGTTTTCGCCATTTCTTAACTAGACGGGTTGGGAAAGTGGCGTATTGTGACGGTTTTGGCTTGCCATAGTCGCCTCCCCTGAAGTCGGCTCGTCTGAAGACGTCGCCTCCCCTGAAGTCGGCTCGTCTGACGACGTCGCCTCCCCTGAAGTCGGCTCGTCTGACGACGTCGCCTCCCGTGAAGTCGGCTCGTCTGACTGACGTCGGCTCGTCTGAGAAGTCGGCTCGTCTGACGACGTCGCCTCCTCTGAAGTCGGCTCGTCTGACGACGTCGCCTCGTCTGAGGATGCTCTCTGCACTCAAGAGGTTGACGCTCCGTCCAGTCCAACATCTCCGGTTCTGATGGTGGTTTTGAAGGCCGCTCCGGCCCAGCCTGCAGAGACTATGTCACCGGTCCAGCCTGCAGGAACTTTGTCACCGGTCCAGCCTGTGTCCCTGGCCCAGCCTGCAGGGCTCCTCTACCGCAGGCGCCGCCCTCCCAGGGCCCATCGCCCCCTCATCTGCCCCAGGCGCAGGCCCCCAAGGGTCCGTCCTCGCCTCCTCATCTGCCCCAGGTGCAGGCCCCCAAGGGTCCGTCCTCGCCTCCTCATCTGCCCCAGGCGCAGGCCCCCAAGGGTCCGTTCTCGCCTCCTCATCTGCCCCAGGCGCAGGCCCCCAAGGGTCCGTCCTCGTCTCCTCATCTGCCCCAGGCGCCGGCCTCCCAGGACCCATCGCCTCCTCTTCTGCCGCAGGCGCCGGCCTCCTGACTCTGCTGATCCCTGCCGCCTCTCCTGTGGTCCCTCTGTTCCTCTGGGCCCTCCCTCCGGGTCCCCCTCCTCCGCCCTGCTCCTGGTTCCTGTGGGCGTCTGGGATACACCCTTTGAGGGGGGGGGTACTGTCACGTCCCGTCCTGTCTACTCTTAGGTTTTGTCTGTGTCTCCGTTAATTGCTCCCACCTGCCTCTTGTTTCCCAATCACCTTAGCTCCCGGTCCTCCTGTATTTAAACACCGTCTGTTTTGTGTCCTTTGTGGAGTCATTGTTTCAGTGTCCAGCGTGTCTCTTCAATAAACTTATGTTAAACGGACTCACCTGTTCGCCTTCTTCCTCCCTGCACTTGGATCCTCCTCTGATCACCACCTCGCTGCCCGGCACGCACGTGACAGCGCCTGGCTCTGGTGTTAATCAAGTTTAAGTTGTAACAATTTTCACAAGAAAACAGAACAGTTAAAAGCAGGGCTTGTGTTGACCGGACAGTTCCCGTATTTGGACGTTTATTTTGACGGAGAAAGAATAGAAATAATTACCCCGACGCATGCAGACGAACTGACACTTCATTCTACGCAAATCGCAGATGTAGCTAAATCACTCAAGAAAAGATTTCCTCCCTTCAGCTCACTGTCAGCGCGTACATAAGGTGCACAGTGAGCTGAAGATGTGGAGAGGGGCTTGGAGCGCATCGCAGAACCAGAGCGCATGTGGGAAGATTCCTTCCACTGAAGCGAGAGTTTTCCAAACCCGGTCTCTCAGAGAGACTTGTCACTTAGAAAATGTTCCCTGATGATTAAACTTTGGCTGAATTGTGCTTGTTCCTGTCTCCAATGTGGCGACACATCCAGGAGCCGTCTGAGGAGAAGCCCAGAATCTCACATCCTCTTCAGCTCATAAAGCGCATATGATTACGCACAAGCGTGACGCGTCAACCCGATCACACAGTAGACCGGGTTGGACGTTCAGGTTTACGCAGACAATCTTTACATTTAGAATTAGCTTACAGATGTAAAATTAATGCAGTAAAATATAAAGCATTTTATTTAAATATCCATTCATTATTTTACAAGCACAGAGAGCCGTATCAGATGGATGGAAGAGCCGCATGCGGCTCCAGAGACGCGGATTGCCGACCCCTGAGCTAGGGCATGTGCGGAGGACACACACACACACACACACACACACACACACACACAAGCAAAATATACTTGTTTTCAATTACTTTTTCTTAGGCCCACTCACAAATGAGTTTATGGCTACGCTAATGGTGACTTTTGACAGACTTCTCTGAGCTCCGCAGCCATTACACTTTTCACCTCGCGCACCCCCTAGCGTCAGCTTGCGCACCCCCAGGGGTGCGCGCACCACACTTTGGGAATCCCTACATCTTCTCCTTCTACTCCTTAATGTTAATTTTCCAAGAAGTAAAAAGAAAGATAAAATTTATTTTAAGGCTGTATGATAGTGAGGCTAATGTATCCCTTTTGATTTAGCCATTTTCTTTATACTTTCAAGGCTGCAATCATGTTTGGAAGTTATTAGTGGCTGTTTCTAATGAACTCTTTAACTTTGTAAATCCAGTTCCTTCTTTTTCTTCTACTCTTCCACCTCTTTCTAAATATTAAGATTCCAAGAGAGCAAAAAGACAGAAAGATAGAAAAAAAGAAAGAAAGAAAACAATTTTTATATAGTGCTTCTAGTCAGTTGTGTAACAGTGACAGCTTAGACATCTACTGAGGAAGCAGGTAGAAGAGGAAGAGCAGAGGCCCCAGCACAGAAGGTGATGGTCAACAGTGTCAAAGGCCGCAGTCAGGTCCAGCAGGACCAGGAGAGAAAAATAAAGATTAAGATTTAACCATTTTTAAGGCTCCATTAAGACAAGGAAGCTAAAATATTCGAATCTAAAATGCTTAAAACAACACAAGTGCAGTTATAGCTGTCAGACATTAGAGAGCAGCAATTCCCCTTCTAAATGCTGCTGGAAACCAGTGTTGTTCTATTTTTTGCCAGCAGAGGGCACAAATTCCCCATTGCGTCAAGGCAACACTGCACAATGCTGGGAAGGAACAAATATTATACATAAACAAACAAATAAATAAATATGGAAGTTTAGAGCAAAAAGCTAGAAACGCCCTAACCCTAACCCTGACTTGTTTCGTTTTTGTTTTATAACACGTTGTTATGGTTTGTTTATTTATTGCGATGGTCTGTAAAGTTCAGATTGATAATGTTTATTTTATAAAGTTTACTACGCTATGAGTTTGTGACTGCTCGTGAGTAGGAGGCCCACTGCTGGCCGTCATCGGGCAGGCAGGAGGAGAGGAGGGGAGGAAAAGTGTGTTTACACAGACGGCTAACTGCCTGGGGAATCGTAGGGGAGAGGAAGTCAGCCGGCTCTGCGTCTGCCTGCTCCAACTTCCTGCTCAGTAAGAGAAAAAGACCAGGATCCTATTTCAGTCCAGCACAACCGTGCAGACCAGAAGTAAGCATGGAAAAACGAGGAATCTCTCAGGCTTCGCCGTAAACTTTCACGGACTGAAGAGACCGACTCACAAATCGCAGGTAAACCCGAAAAGAGTCGCTTCCCCCACAAAAGGCGCTTTGTTAGCTAGTAGTTTGTAGCTAATGATTAACGCAACACCGGGGCGTGCGCGTTAATGACCGTTATTACGGTCTTATTCGGCCTCCGTAAGCTTCTGGTTAGCGTTTCGCTCCTCGAGAGGAGTCCGTTTTTAGGTTTTAGTGAAGAATAGTGCAGATTTGAGGCGGCTTCCGGTTCGAGCCACATCTTGAAAATGAGTCAGTGGGGCAGAAAGATGATCCGGACTTCATGACTAACTTTTACCAGTGCAGATTAAACCAGATTAAAAGGGAATGGCAGAATTAATCCAGACTCTGGCTGTATCCATGATCGCTGTGTGAGAGATGCTTTTCTTATGGGTCCTTGTTGAATTTTCCACCGCCTGTGAACAGGAAGAGAACAGATTTGGTCATGGCTAAGTAATGTCTGCGCACGCACGCACGCACGCACGCACGCACACACACACCACACACACACACACACACACACACACACACACACACACACACACACACACAGTCTAATCTCATTAGGAGTTTCCGTCCAGCCAACACACTGTGTGTCTTTGTGCTTCTCATCCCAGCATCAGTAGAACCCTGACACAAAACACCTCAGAGTTGTTGTGATGTTCCTAGAAAGACCAGGACCATGTTTGGTGTCTTGATTAATCCACGTCCATCTCCAGCTCACTGGTCCCAGTGAAAGACTCTGGGGTCACAGTGGGTCACAGGGTGGAGCTGTGGGCTGGGGACAATGATCTGATCTTTTGACCTTGTTCCTCTGTGGGAAGTGTGGCCCGGATTGGGGAAACGCTCCCCTGCAGTGGGATCCCCTCTCCTCCTTACCATTTGTCCTTGGAAGTAGAATAGCAGGAAGTCCTGAGTCTGACAGGTTTGTAGTTTCACACAGGAGAGGGAAAACTCGGGGGATGGCTGGTGTCGGAAACCAGCTCAGCCCTCTCCGGACGGAGATACAAAAGCTGCTCCGTTATCTTTGTTGGTCATTTGTTGCTCCTCAGATAAGAGAAAAGATCACAGAAGCCTCATTGACGCATTTGTCTACACAGCCATGTTCATTATTCATCTTGTTTAGGAGTCTGAGGCAACACATAAAAGTTAAATCCTGGACTAAAGGTTGCTCAGATAATCTTCTTTATATTAGATTATTCATATTTGCACTTAAGTCAGTTCTAATTTCTGATTCTTCTACAGATCTGACCAGCTGGTACCAACTATGAGGAGATCCCATTAATCTGGTATTGCCAGGGTGAACTAGTGCTATGATGCATTCATGGACAACAACACTAGATTAGGGGTGTGTATTGGCAATAATCTGGTGATACAATATACATCACAATACAGGGGATACAATACAATATATTATAATATTATAAAAGAGGATATTTGCGATTTTTAAGACATAATTTAACTGGAAAACTCGGGCCAGACACTTCCAAACACATCCAGTGTTATTGTGAGATCTCGTTCCGTCAGAATGAAGGCGCCTGAATTAGAAAAACTTGCATCAGCATCAGTCAACTCCAGTTCTTATCGTGTTTACCCACAGAACAGCTGATTACCTGATCTTTTTGTTTTGTTTTTAACAAGCTTATTATTATTATTTAAGGACCACATTGGTTTCTGTCTGTTAGAACTAGAGCAGGATCTTAGAGGCTGGTTGTCATTTTTAGAGGATTAAATAAAACCAGACTATAATCTTGATGTGCCACAGAGTCTATTACAGGTGGTTTAAAATAACTTTATTCAGATTGGGTCTGTGTGCGATGCAGCTTGTCATGGACAAAAGCTGCTCCAGCGTCAGCCGAGCTCCCAGTAGGCAGATGGGATTCTAGAGGCTGCACATTCCTCTATTAGAGGAATAACCAACCCCGGGCCCGCCGTACTTCCTGTGGAGAGAGGGCCAGGTTGAACCGCAGCATATTTCTGGCTTGAGATGTTGTTCCTCCTCTGCTGATGCTACGTTACTCACACATTCTGTTCATGAGGAGCCGAATCATCCTCCCCAGCAGCACATGCTTTTTGCTGCTCAAATGATTGAGTAGTGTGTGTGTGTGTGTGTGACGCTGCAGGCATGGACAGCGCCATCACCCTGTGGCAGTTCCTGCTGCAGCTGCTGCTCGACCAGAGCCACAAACACCTGATCTGCTGGACGTCCACGGATGGCGAGTTCAAGCTCCTGAAGTCAGAGGAAGTGGCCAAGCTGTGGGGTCTGCGCAAGAACAAGACTAACATGAACTACGACAAGCTGAGCCGAGCCCTGCGCTACTACTACGACAAGGTGAGCTGCTCTGTGATCAGCTGCAGGGTTTTTATCCAGCTGGGCTCAAAGATTGAATTATCATCTCCGTCCTTAAGCCACCACCTCCTGTGACGCACACTTTCACTTCCTCTTCCGCTTTGAGCAGCAATCCGGATATCAAAGACGACATCCTGAGAACCCAGTTCCAGTTTGTTTATTGCTGTTTTGTTTGTTTTCTTTTGTTTTGTTGCAGAACATCATCAAAAAGGTGATCGGACAAAAGTTTGTCTACAAGTTTGTTTCCTTCCCTGAGATCCTTAAGATGGACCCGCAGGCGGTGGAGATGGGTCTAGCCTCGGGGAGGTTCCCCCTCCAAGAAGAGGAGGTCCAGGAGCTGGAACCAGAGGAGGAGGAAGAAGAGGAGGTAGAGGAGGAGGCTCAGAGGAAGAGCCTTTCAGCGTTGGGGGTGCAGCAGTGCCGGAGGGATTACCTCCACTCGGGTCTCTACTCGTCGTTCAGCATCAACTCTTTGCAGAACCAACCAGAGCTCCTCCGCGCCCTGCGCGAGCATCAGGAGGAGCCACGCTCTGTCATCCGCTTCGGCACCAATGCCAGCGAGAGGAGCTCTCCTAGACCGGCCAAACTCTCCTCTCACTCCCCGTCTTCCCCAAGTGTCCAGCCCGGCCGGAGCAGGAGCCCTGCTGCCGAGGAGGCGGCGGAGGAGGAAGAGGTAGACTCTGACCAGAGCGCTCAGCCCCTCAACCTGTCCTCATCCCACAGAGAGCGGGCCTTGCCACCTCCAGAGAAGAGGAGTGGCAGCAAATCCGCTAACAGTGGTGCTAACCAAGGAGATGGACTCCCCCCTAAAAGCAAAAAGCCCAAAGCTCTGGAGATCTCCTCCCCGTCCCTACTGCTGGCCGGGAGCGACATCGGCTCCATCGCCCTCAACAGCCCAGCGCTGCCGTCCGGCTCCCTCACCCCCGCCTTCTTCACGGCACAGGTGAGACACTTACCTGAACCATAAAAACAACATTCCTCTCAGGGAGACCAGCGAAGTTCAAACGTGACACGGTGTCCTTGTTCCTAGAGGTGAGTCTTGTAGGTGAGAGATCTGGAAACTGTTGACTCACTCCTGTAGTTTCTGAAGGTGCTTTCCAGCTTTATGGAGGTCAGATGCAGAAACAGAAGTTACACAATCAGCCACAACATTACGTCCACCAAGGCTGGTTGTGCAACATTCTGCTGGGAAACCTGTAGTCGGTGCAGGCCAGAAGGTAAACCACGCCGTGAGACAAGCACGGTCTCTGTCGTGTCTCAGCACGTTTTCACACCCGCTCGAACACCAGCACTCACACTGAACCTGAGGAGGACGGGTCTGTGGTCCGTTTTGGGTGCGGTGCTGTCTCCTGAGGAACCCGACAAACTACAAATTATTTTATTCCATACTCGAGTCTTCACAGAGAGTTAAGAGGCTGAACGGGTAAATATTCCAATCATCTCCCACTTTTACTGCATTGAATTTAGCTAATGGCTAATATTACTGAATTATTCTGCATAAATGCAAATGAGCGCAAACCAAACATGACAACGGCCCATTTTCTGTGTTTTTGCTGCTTAAGCCTCCTTTAGGCGTTACCACAGGCTTCGGCCGGTGTTGGTCACCGTCTTTAGGTAAAGATCTTCTGCTTTGGGACGATTACTGCAGAGCGATCGCTTTGTGAAAAGCATCAGAAGTAAAAACTTAGATCAGAGGAAAACAAGTGGTTTATAGAAATCTTCTGAGTCCAGCCTCCTGGTGGTGGAGGGTGGAGCAGAGTCCCTAAGTGATGCCACATGCTCCAATAATTCCATTAATAATGGGAGCCGGCGGGCTGGTCCCTCCTCAGCAGCTCTGCCTCACTTCACTGAGGTGACACGGGGGAAAGCAGAGGGGGAAGGGATGAGAGCAAGAAATTGATTTCATATGTTTTCTCTGTGGCTGCGTGAGGATCAATGCCTACTCCCCCCCCCCCCCCCCCCCCCCACACACACACACACACAATCACCCCTGTATTCTGGACGAGGAACCAGACTTCCTTCCTGCTCCTTCAGTTTGTTTTTCCAAACGCTAATGCGTGTCCATTTACTACTTCAGCGTGTTTTGCATTAACCAAAGTGCTCGGAGTGCCGCTCCTCATACTATTTTGTATAAAATTTGTTTTTTTAGACAATCACTTTCACTAGTTTTCTTATTTATACCGGCCTGTGGACCTGTACTCCCTCACAGACTCCCTCGGGTTTGCTGCTGGCTCACAGCCCCCTGCTGTCAGGGATCCACTTCTGGAGCAGCCTGAGCCCCGTGGCCCCGCTCAGCCCCGCCCGGCTGCAGGGCCACAACTCCCTGTTCCAGGTAAGAAGCCCACAGTTAAAGCGGAAGGAGGCGGCTCTAAATAAAAAAAGACATTGTATTCAAAGGTTTATCGTTTACTGGAAGTTCTCAGAACCAGAGGAGGAAGTTGTGAGTTGTGCAGCAAAATCCTCTTTCTGGTTTGCCAGATATGAAACAAAGATTCAGCTCTGGTTATAAGCAGCACATCTGACCCAGCCTACAGGAGTTTACTCAAGAGGAAGCACGTTGGGAGAAATACCCACAACATGATGTTTTGGTTATCTGAAGTGTCAGACTCCAGCTTCGGGGAAACAAGTTAGGACTTTGTAAGCAGGTCCTGCAGAGGTGTCCTGTTTCAGTGCTTGTGAGAGGGAGAGGAAATCCTGTGAATACTTCCTGTTTGAGCCCAGGGGAGCCGGTCCGAACAGGGCGGACTGGTTTAAGAGCTGCTCCTCATTTATGAAACACACACACACACGATCAGCCTCTTTGTGCACCAGTAACACTTCTGCTGTTGTAGAGTAGAAATGAATCACAGCAGAAACACAAACATGGTTAAATAAAACTAAAGACAGGAAACCGGAACGGTGACGATGCTGCAGTTCCTCACTTGAGAGCTAACTCTCACCCCCTCTTCCTCCACAGTTCCCCAGCCTAATCAACGGACACATGCCTGTCCCCCTCCCAAACCTGGAAGGACCTCCCTCCTCTCTGCTCCTGTCCCCCACCACCCACAAATCCTGATCCAACAACAGTGAGAGAACCATCACCTTCATCATCATCATCAGATGTGCTCTTTATCAAAGTCGGCTTCAGAAAAATGGAACTCTGACCTCACCTTTTGTGTTTTTTGCACTTGAGCTGCTTCAGACTGAAAGCTCTTGGTAAAAGCCATACAGCCCCGTGTCTGAGAGACGTTACAGGACATGTCCGCCCGGCCCGGCCCCTCCATGGGCCTAAACTACCGCTCCGTCTGTGCTGATTTTCTTCTTTTATTCTTTCAAAAAAAAAAAAACTATTTTTTGCTCTTAAATGACCAGTGCGAACGGCCGTTTCGCTGACGTGGTTTTGTATGTAACATACGCACTAAGCTTCTCAGATAGTACCAGCTGTGCCTTTTTGTTTTATTACAAAATCTTTTAATGAAGACGAGATTTCAAATCAATGAAAAAACCTTTTTAACTGTTTCTTATTGTACTTTTTATACTGGACTTGGCATACAGTTTGTAATCTGTGTGTTTTTGTAAAAAAATGTTATTTTCAAATAAAGACAGCATTGAATGCTCAAGCTGTTTTATGTTTAAATTTAATTTTACTCTGAAAAAGAAAAAACTCATGTATGGGATGGGGCGCTTGTGACAAAAATCCCACACCAACAACAGTTATTCACAAATAAAGTTATACAAAAAAACAAAAACCATGATGTAACACTGTTAAATGAACTCACTCGCCGAGGTCAGGACTCGTCACACAACAGAGCAGGCATGCAACAACGACGGAGACAACTCAGGACAACGGGAATCACAGAGGAGTAGGATATCTGCAAAACAAAGGCAGCGATGCAGATTCCCAATAGGAACGCGCGCGCCTGGTAAATCACGGGCGTGATCGAGACCTCGGCATCCTGGAATGGGGCTCCAGAAATCCGCAACAGTCCTCGCCGCTCCTGTTTTGTATCCTCCGATCGGGGTAGAAGTGATCCGGTTTTGGGGTGAAAGGTGAACCCTTCAGAGTAAATGGTCACAGACGATTAGTAACGACCACCGTTGAACTGCTACAGAAACGTTCCTCCGGCTGTGAGCCTCACACGCACCGAGACACACACACAGGAACGCCGAGGTGGTCGTTAAAGACAAAACTAAACACACACCACTTCAAAAAAGAAATCAAAAACAGTCTTTAAAACCTATACACATGGCATGTATTCATTAAAGTGACTGAGCCAGTTAGAAATCTAAACCAGTAGTTGGATTTAGCAGCAAATTCTCTTCTCAATAAATATCCATGTACAGAATATAAACGTCTCTTATTGGAGTCAGGATCGCTAATCCAGCCTGGGAGGAGCCCCCCCACCACGATGTGGATGGTCACCGGTCACCGATGCGCCTGCATGCCGGTGAGCGATCCTTCTCACCAGAAAAAAGTCCAGAAGCTTTAAAACAGCATGCTCTGTCTTCTGCTCTTCCCGTTGCCTGGTGGGAAAAAAGAAACATTATTGGAAATTACTTTATTCATTTTCTGGTCTTTTACTGGATTTCCTGATTTCCTGCAAGTGGAACGTAAAAACGTTGTTACGCTGTGTATCAAGCAAGAAAAAAACTAATAGTATTGCAATATTTAACAATAATGTTAAACAGTTCTTGTTAGTCCAGTGTTAGATCTGAATTTGTTCAGAAATTGTCTTATTTATTTATTTATTTATTTTTGTAAAAAAACAGATAAAAACAGCTCAAATCTCCAGAATTTGCTTTAAAATCAGGTTTAACTGCAATTCCTGGAAAATGTTTCATTTCTCATCTTCTGAAACATCCATCCGTCTATTATCTTTACCCACTTATCCTCGCAGGGGGCTGCTGCCTATCTCCAGCTGCCTCTGGGCATGCAGGCGGGGTACACCCAGGACAGTCCATCGCAGGGCAACACAGAGACACACAGGACAAACAATCACACACACACACACCTAAGGACAATTTACAGAAACCAATCAACCTGACAGTCATGGTTTTTTGGGACTGTGGGAGGAAGCCGGAGTACCCGGGGAGAACCCACGCATGCACAGGGAGAACATGCAAACTCCATGCAGAAAGACCTTGGGTCGGGATTTGAACCCACGACCTTCTTGCTGCAAGGCAACAGCGCTAACCACTGCACCACTGTAAAATAAACAAATCTTTAACTTGAAAACAATGTCTTGAAAAAGTTAAATGTGATGCTAAAGTTGCATTAAGGGTGTACGGAACACACTTAAGCCCTTTTTACATGATGCACCGCACCTGCAAGTCAGCGTAATATTACTGCAACTGTGTTTTCTAAACGCGCCATGCCGGAGTGGCGGTCGCTCGGTAGTAATATTGCGGTAATTGTCTGTCTTATAAACAGTGATTGCACCTTGGTACAACAGAGGAAGATGTCATGACCACGTGGGGAGTTACCGGTCCGCAACTATATTGAAAATGAAAGTGAACACGTGCCGTAAGTTTTGCTTTTGTAAACAGAATCAGCTGAGATGGCAAACTGGTGCAATGCAGCGCTCCTGGAGCTTTTCTCCATTAGATCTGGAGCTCAGATCACCAGAGACTGCACGGGGACTGTGGAGGACAGACACCTTTAGGTGCAGCTTGTTAAAAAAACGTAGTGAGCGTGGCTTCAATCGCAATAAGTTATGTCCAAGAGAAATGGAAGTTCGTGGCGGTGCAGGGACTGCCCCATACCCCCTTTTTACCTCCATCTCGTAATCTTATGTGAAGGACACGATTGCGCCCCATTACCACCATAGTCTGACCACTTACAAATGATCTAAGGCTCCCTGATGCCGCCACGGCGTAGCAGCAAATTGACGGCATTGTTTTGTAAAAATGGCTTTAATGTTTTGATGGGTCGAATTTGTATGTTTTTTGTAGTTCTTCACTCTGCTTCTCAATCAGCGGTCCCCCCTCTGCTGCTCACCTGACTCAGGGTACGATGAGTTCCTGTAGCCGGGGTCTTTCTGCAGCTGCAACCCCCTCAGCGTAAATATGGACATGTCTGCCAAAGATAGAGTCGGTTACAGCAACAACAGTCACCTGAAGAGTCTATCATGAAGCTGGGGTGGATTGAAACCAAGCTCTGAAGGGTTACGTTACTTCATCACAATGTGATTACTCACTCTCTGGCAGCATGTGCACACGCTGCCCCAGGCTCCTGAAGTACGGGTGCCTCATCGCCTCATCAGCAGAAATACGCTTCTTTGATTCGTACTGAAATGTAGGACAGAGAAACAAACTTAGAGAAATAGATAAACGAGTCAGGAAAGGGTTGGATGGTCCAAAAACAAGTCCCCTTGCTTGTCTGGAAGGTGAACTTACTTTTAGAAATGACATGAGCAGAGATATGCCATCACTGTCCAGCCTGTGTGGAGAAGAGCAGAGGAGGAGAGCAAGGTCAGCAAGGTGGGGTGACTCACCGATGCTGCCGGGTGTAAGGAAGGAAGCCGAGCCAAACACAGTCAACTATTCCACAGGATTTCCTCACAGGAAGTGACACAGAGCACACACTCCCAGCTAAACAACCCGACGTCTAAACGCAGAAATACTCAACAGATGGCCTCTTCTTTTCATTACCTGGGTCTCTGGGGAAATATCTGCTCATTTCCTTCTCCAGAAGTTAGTGAACTAACAAGAAAGGTGAGCCGGTTGTGTCAGCTAAATGGTAAACTTGCAGTAAAAATGGCTAAAGTACAAACGTGTTAAATGTTTTCCACATTAGGGCCATAAAAGGGTTGGAACGACTCCGTCGTACCTGGGAGCGTGATTGATCAGAGGCTGGGGCTTGTACTTCTGGAACTTGTAGGACTTGAACTCGTCGACTGAGGAGATCCCAGGCCAGGTGTCTTCAGTGGGAGTGCCTGTGGAGGGACGTTCAAACAGTTAAAGGGGGTTCACGTGCCATGTTTGCTGTGATTAAACCTTCCCCCGTCAGCAGGGGGCAGCACTGACCCAACAGCCTGAAGATGAGGTGCAGCTCATCCTCCACTGTGGAACCAGGGAACAGGGGTCTGCCAGCAGCCATCTCAAAGAATATGCAGCCCACACCCCTGTGGGTTAGGGGGGTGTCAAAGGTTATCAGGGGACTGTTCTCAATCTGACTCTCAATGAAAATAATGTTTGATTCCAACAAATTATTAGTGATGACTCTATTTTCAGATGATCCTATCTGCGTCTTCGACATGTTAACATATGGAAGTGCAACCCCACACACTCACCACATGTCTATCTGTGTGGAGTACTCGGAGGAGCCCAGCAGCACGTCGGGGGGCCGGTACCACAGCGTTACCACCTCATTAGAGTAGGTTTTAGTGGGCACGGACTTGGCCCTTGCCAGGCCTGTGGAGCAGGTGACAAATGCAGAAATGTGGATAAAAAGGCTTTAAAATGAAGAATAAAGCAATAACTGGATTCACTGGAAGGAGAAATTAAGATGTTTCAAATCGTCTGAATATATTAATTAAATACAAGAATATTCTCTGATGTCAGAAAGACTCACATTTGTGAGAAAAAGTCAAATTTCCACCAAATAAAGGAATTCAACTGTTATTATCTGATCTCTAAATAGTCACAGTTTCTGAGGTCATTCTTATAATTGAAGCACTCGTTTTACTCTACAGTAGGGTTGGGCATGCAGCACTGATTAGAACCAGGACTCATTTTCAGTTTTTCCCAGATTTGATTCCAGTTTCAATGCCCAGTAGCTGCCGAATGCTGATGAAGAATCCACCGGAAGTGTTTTTGTTACCATGTTCTAAAGTGCGGATTCACTTTGGCACATCCACAGAATAAAACTTCATGGAGACGTTCAGACCATTTCATCGAGCAAGACCCTAGGTTAGCTGGTTCATTTCAATAATATTATATAATTTATTATATAATTCCTTTTTTGACCCTGCCTCTTGGAAGAATTGAGAATTGCAAAGAGCCAGAATTGTTCAAGCGAGGCACAGCCCTAATCTACCGTGGCCTTATGAAATAACTGATTTTACCAAAATCAGCCAGTTTGAGTTCTCCTCTGTCGTTGATGAGCAGATTTTGGGGCTTGAGGTCTCTGTGGAGAACTTTCCGTCTGTGACAGTAAGCCAAACCTCTGAGGATCTGGTATAGAAACAGCTAAAGAAAGAAAAGGTATAATCAGTTAAATATTATTTAATATGATGATTAAATGCACATTTTCCACTCATTTAAAGGTTCCAGATCATGCTATTTTAAACATTCTAGAGCAAAGGTAGGCACAATACGTGATTAAATATTAGTTTGCACTATTGAGATGTTATTGATCCTAAATATTAGTTTGCACTATTGAGATGTTATTGATCCTAAATATTAGTTTTTTTTTTCGTCAGCCTGAATTTATTTTGCAGTTTTATTCTCACAGGTGGAGCGTTATAGCTTCTGCTATAACACTACTGATACCAAAACATTATTAGAAATATTTTTGTTTTATTTAAATACCAACGAACACGGAGACAGAAGTGTAAGAAAAAGGGGGAGAAGCAAGGAAGTGGTGGGGGAGGGGGGATTAAAAAAATAAACCACAAATGATGAACAAGATTCTGCTTCTAGACCTGCAGAAAGAGAGAGAGAGAGAGAAAAAGGGGACACATAAAATACAAGAAGACCAAGCACGTAAACGGAAGTGACGCCACGAACAGCTGGTGGCCCAGACGACGGCGGAAGTTCCGGCCGAAACATGTCAGCCGAAGGCAAAAAAACAACATCTAATTACTGGGCTGTGTTAAATAAGAAAAAAGAAGATGACAACAAGACCTAAATATCACTGCACCAACAACATGAGGATATATAAAAGTAACAATTTTTTGCTGAGAAACACACGCTAATAATTCATAGTGGATTTAGTGTAAACCACACAGGTGATGTGTTGAAAATGCCCAAGTCCATCCTTGAGAGAGCACCATGTGAGCACCTGTGTGTGTGCACTGGCTTTCTCTATAAGAGTGTCCAACAGTGAGTGTGAGGGGCCACAGACCTGCTCCCAAGGACGTGTGGAAGATGGAGGAGTTCCAAGCCCTAGAGATCCATGGGTCTCCCCGAAGCACAGAAACCCCAGGGAGACAGCCACCGGACTCCCCCCCCCCCCCCCTTTCCTGTTTATGAGGATAGTTTTCTTTGTGATGCATATGGCAGTCAGAACCACGTGAACAAAATTGGTTTCAATCAGGACAGCCTGATTTTATACCTGGAGCTGAAACAGTTTGTTTTAGCGAAGCTCCAACAAAACGTGCCTACAACAGTGTCTTTGAGGCTAACTTATGCTTCTGCGTCCACACAGAGACATGCGTCATTGTGAGGGCTCTCCAACAGGTTGCAAGGATGGACGGAGTTGAGCCCACTTTTCTAAACGTTTGTCAAACAAGACAGAGAACCCAAGCTTGTGATTTGCCAGGACTCTTCTTCCTTTAAACTCGTCAACATCACCGCCATTGACCTCTCAAAAACATTAATAAAAAGAGAGCCAAAGATATCTAGCGTCAGATACAGAGCAGCTTGAAGAATACCTCGCGGAAAGAAAACGTTTATTCACCCGTGACTGGAGGAGTAAAAAGATACGCAGCCAGCATTTTATTTGAGGACGGAAATGACTGGAAACGTGGGTTTAGAGGTGGCGAGCGCATGCGAGGTGGAGAAGAATAAGGGACAAATGTGTCCGTGTTAAAAAAGTCTCTGAAATACAAAAACACAATATAAACACAATAGTAAATAATCTTGGACCGGATGCATGACATATATTTTAGTTTTATTGATTATTCTCTGCATAATATTTTGTGTCTCTAAAGATCTTTGAGTTTGGTCATTTCCAAGCAGCATTTTAGTTGATTTACTCTGCTCACCTCACATGGTCTCACACTGGCTAAATAAACAAAGAATTAAAAAGAATAAAAACAGATTAGTCCTTATTTTTTAAATAGTTTACCAATAAAGAGTTGAAAACATAATACTGGTAAGTGTAGCTAAAACCATGAAGAAGAACATTACTGCTGCAGCTGGGAGGCTAACCCTAACCCTAACCTGCACACAATTACATGCCAGTCTGGCGTTTTAACCTCAAAATTACCAAGTTTGTTACAAAACAAACGTCGCCTAACACACCTGTGCTGGCCATTATGTGCATCTTTATACAAGATGCATGGTTTTTAAGAGCAGTGTTTTGTCCCCAACGCAGAAGTCATTTGTCAGAATATCCAAAGAATATTCAGGTTTCAGAACTGAGACCAGACCAGGTTCAGGGGGAGGAGAAATGCCCGATGATGCAAGTGGGATAATCTCTTCCGTTTGCAGGAAAAATCTTTTACATCTATTAAATTGCAGCTGAGACAGGGAAATGCATGAATGCAGCCATACAGGGTTTGGAGGTATTTCTTATAAGGAAATGACAATAACACGTGGTAAAAAGCTCCAAAAAGTGGATTTTTCATGATATGGAACCTTTAAACTTCTAAATAAAATAAAGACAGACAAGACTACATTTCCCCACCAGGGGGCAAACAAACGGGATTCTGGCATCATCTTGATGAAGGTGGCTGGGCCAGCGGGCCATCTGCAAAGGCTCACCTTGACATTCTGCATGCTCAGGATGTTCCCGCAGTCGTCCATGTACTGCTTCAGGTCTTTGTCCTGGAAAAAAGGAGGGCAGAGAGCAACAGTTGGTAAACAAGCAGTACTCTCCAGAAGGTAATGAATAATAATACGTTTGAGCATCCATGAAAAAAAGTCTGAAGCAAGGTGACTGCAGACGTTCACCCAGCCTCACCAGGTATTCAAACACCAGAGTGAGCGACTTATCCGTGTGGACGATGTCGTGCAGTGTTACAATGTTGGCGTGTTTCAGGTCCTTCAGTAGAGACACTTAGAAAAACAACAGGAAAAAGACAAATAGGATTAATTGGAAAACTGGAGCAAATAAGTCAGAAATGATGTTGTGATTTTGAACTCCTTTACATTCAGGTCAAACACAAACTCATGTTAAGAGTTGAGTAAGGATGAACTCTATAGATCCGCCGGAGCGTGATTTTTTTATTCTAACCTTCTCTGATAGCCGTGCATGGAGCCCCCTCCTCGTGCTCAAGCCGGATCTCCTTCAGCGCCACGAGGTTGTCCGTCAGTTTACTCCTCCCTTTGAAGACGGTTGCGTATGTGCCCTAGAGAGCAGGAGAAGGGGGGAGTTTTACAACTTTCACAGCTGCATTTATGTTTAATTAGGTGAGCTATCTCACATACCTCCCCCAGTTTGTCCAGTTTGACGTAAGTCTCCAGCTTCCCAAATCCAATTTCTGACTGGAGGATGGAAAGGGACAGACAGAGTTAACATTTGAGGCTTTTTTATTTGCAGCGACGAGCTAAACGGACACCATCTGCCTGTCCAGCAGCATCTGAGAGGAGGAGTAAGGAGGCCAAACACCATCCTAACTAATGTGTTGTGACTGTTAACTTTACAAAGTGTTTATCTGTAGAAGAAACATAAACTTCTTCATAAAGCAGATTCAAATCTAGACCAACCACAGCAATAGCAAAAGATTAGCTATGCAGGTCGGTCCAGCCACGTTCCACTTTACCCTCAGCAGGTCCACCATTGGCCCAAACAATTTTAGGTCCAGCCAATCACAGAGCTCTATGTTTGTAGCGAGACTATGGTAGGCTTCGTGCCAGAGCTGTGACAGAAAAACTACAAAGATGGCGTCAGCTCAGGAGTGGCGCTCATTTGAAACGGCTTTGGCATCAACTTTGAACGATTTAGACTTTTGAGACATGAGCAGATAGAGGTCATTTATTTAAAAAAAAGATTTTTTTGCCTTTTCTTCTTCACCGTGTATAGCAGACGGCCTTACTGACACATTGTCGTAGCGATGACTACGTTGCTCTGATTGGTCCTAGCACCGTGGAGACAGTTTGAGAGACAACCTTAGATTCTGCCCCAGGACTGGGCTCTGTCTATGGGTCGTGGTCAGGCTATACATATACATATGTAGGAGGGCTTGCCAGGCTCAGTTCAAAACTGCATGAATAGTAATTTAATACTCATTTGATTTAAAAATTCACTCCCAGATTTGGATTTCTTAATTGTTGAAGCTTGGCATTCCTCTGCATGGGAAGCACTTGGCTCCAAATCATCTTTTGTGTTGTAAGTCACAACATAAACATATAGGAACTCATGACTAAGATGTAAGTCATTACTAACAGGAAATTAAGAGTAGCAATCTAGGTGATTTGCACTGACTACAGGTTAAAATGCCACTCAGAGCTTTAGAAACACTGCAGAGCTGCATGTCTGTATGTGAAGCAGGTGTTCTACCTCTGTTCTGCTTTAGACACATGCAGAGTCAAATAAAACCACAAGCCAATTACCGAGGCTGCTGACTGGGCTGTAGCGTAAACACACGGCCACAAGCTGAGAGGATAAGATTAGACGAACTAAAGGCAGAGGATGACCTCTCACTTCTACTTCTTTAAAATAAAACCTGACCCACAGCTGTCTTTATCAGCCTCTGTTTGACCTTTGATCTGTTCCCGTTTAACTTTTATTTTTTGTTAAGAACACTCAGACATGAGCTGCCTGGAAGAAAGTTTGGGAGCTCATCTGCCAAAGTTCTACCTGTAAAACGTTATTTTTTTAAACAGTTTCACACTGATAACAGCAAAAACACAATAAAACTCTAAGAACAAAGTCTGGTTAAAACTCAGCAGGAATAAATAATTGATGTTTTTGACAACTTCCCGTTACTTTTTATCGAAGGGTTCATATTAAAGCAACACTAAAGAGTTTTTAACACTTTAAGCTACTGCTTTCAAACTGGGTTCATTAACTGAGCCATTAACGTGAGCAACTTCTCATTGGACAGCACTTTGTAGCCCTTTGCTGACCAGAAACCATACTTAACAGTTTTGTGGTTCAGGCACAGACACCAGTGGGAGCTCTCTCAATAATAGCTGTTTACTGTGTCGGTAGCTCATATAAATGGTAAATGGTAAATGGCCTGTATTTGATATAGCGCCTTCTAGAGTCCTGAAACCCCCCAAGGCGCTTTACAACACAACCAGTCATTCACCCATTCACACACACATTCACACACTGGTGGGGATGAGCTACAATGTAGCCACAGCTGCCCTGGGGCGCACTGACAGAGGCGAGGCTGCCGAGCACTGGCGCCACCGGTCCCTCCGACCACCACCAGCAGGCAACGTGGGTTAAGTGTCTTGCCCAAGGACACAACGACAGCGACAGACTGAGCGGGGCTCGAACCTGCAACCTTCCGATTACGGGGCGAGCACTTAACTCCTGTGCCACCGTCGCCCCATATAAAGGCTAGCAGTTAGCTTTTCAGTTCTCTGACCTTCAGTTAAAAAAGCACAAGACTTTTGTTTTGTTGTTGGCATCATAACGGAGTCTGGAAGTAAGAGTAATGTTGTCGGTGGTAAAGCAAAGACGTAAAATCTGAGAGAACAATGCCATGGACTACACTTGTTTGAGGGAGCTAAAGGAGGCTACAAAACCACAGACTGATGGTGACCTGGCTTTGTTGCTACTGGACTTGTAAGTACTAATATTTTAATTTGTAGCTTATTTAGTGTCCGTTGGATTACTTTAGCATTAGCTCATTTTTAACTCTAGCTACTGCAGGCAGCAACATGGATATTTATGACAGTTGTAATTCCTCTTTAAACCAGTAGGGGGAGAAGCGAGAAACTTAAGTGTTGATTTAAAGTTGTCTCAGCAATTTCAGATTCAACCTGTCTGCACGAGCGACTCGGTCTCGTGACCGGACAGATTTGTCTGAAACAAATACAAATGTGCGTTCACTTCCAGCAACTATTTATGTGAGAAACACTAAGCAAAGTACAGCATCGTTAAAGCATCTGAAACTGTTCTCACGCTGAATTTTCTTTTATAATCCCGGCTCTTATCCCAGCAGATTTTTCTGAGGTAAATCTCCTTGCTTAGCGTTTTAACGAGTGAGAAAATCTTGGGATGCAGCCCTTTTACTGACGCTTAATTCAATGAGAGTCCTCCAAACAAAGAAGCTCCAACAAGGACTTATTGACTGGGATGCCTTAGATCACTGCTCGTGATTGATTTATAAGTTGGCAAATGTTTTGCTGTCGATCCATTTATTATTCTGCCGTGTTTAAGCAGCATTTGTTCTTTTAGTTGCTTGTGCGTTGGGAAAATATGTCATGAAACATTGAGCAGATTTTAATGAAGGTTTTCATTAGATACAACAGCTTTCTGGATGTGTATCACAGCTTAAAAACTATTTAAAAAAACACAAAAAATGGCTCCAAATCAGTCGCTTTTACAGACTTTGAGCTAAAATTGGGTATTAGATGAAAATTATTCATAGCCATGTGATAAAGCAGCATGAAACAGGCCTTTAATGTATTGAGTGTAATTCCAGTAGAGCAAAATTAAGAAGCTGATTTCACTTTTTAATTTCAACTGTATCTGGTTTAGTTGGTTGCTGCCTCTTTTCAGGTTAAAACTCTCAAACCTCCATAAGTTAAAACCCATAATATCACATTACTGTAATCCTCCCACAGGAAATGTCCCTTCTGTTCATTTATGCCACATTAGCTGTCCTCTCATCAATCTTTTTCTCTCTAATCTAATCAGATCCCATCCATCACTACTCCTCTTACTCACCAGCGATGCTCTGCGGGAGCGTCGGCTCAGCGGCTGGTCGAAGGGGGGGCTGCTCAGCTGCAGCTTCTGTAGGTAACCGTCAGGTATCCGGATGTCGGCCGGCAGGGACAGACGTTTGTTCAGGTCCTGCGTGCAAACGCGCAACACAAACCCTGTCACAGCTGCAGTAATGAGGAAAATAAATAAAACTGAAGACCAACAGAACCTTTGACAAACTGCCGTCTCTGATCAGAGAACGTTGTGGATTTGTGTATTATTAAACAAACACAAAGGAACATCTGGATTCCTCCCATCGTGCATCTCTGTTAATCCTAAGGTCTCATTAAACATTTACACCTTTTCCTTCTGAACCAACACACAGATTTGCAACTTTTAACGTTATTTCACGTTTCAACAGATTCAGCAGATTAATCTATAACCAGAGGTGCTGAGGTAAACTCAGGATTCAGATGCTGCTGATCAACAGAACACCAAAGAATTATGAAGGACGAATGATCAATGCAATTTCAAAAATGTTGTTTAAAATACTTTTTGTTCAGCTATTAATTAATTTTATAGACTATATTAATATTTATATGTTATTTTCCTTATTATTTTTGCTCTTGTTTAGTAAAACAATGTTTAAAAAATTATTTACAGGCTCAAAAATTGAGCGCTTGTTCTTATAAAAACATGAAAATTAATTTTTGGAAACTAATAGACATTTTCTAGGATTCTCTAGTTGTTCTGTAACCACTGACTTCTGGCAAATTATTTAATAGTCACATAAACACCAGATGCTAGGTGTAGTCACAGCTGATATGTTTGTATGATAGAGACATTAATCCCAGCTCTGTTGTCCCGTTCGTTCTCTTTGCACAGCCAGAACTGGTGATTTATTCTCAGATTGAGAGATGTCGTCCATCCCCTGACCATTGCCCTCGGACCACCCTCCTCCAGTCGTCCAATCGACTCTTTCTAATCTGTTACAACAGAGGTCCATCTGGACCGTATTACGCTAATCCTTGTGATGTAATCCCAAAACAGTCCTGCTTCCTCTGCAGTGAGAGCAACGCGCTCCACCACCTGACCAATGGGATGGACGATCTCACTCCTCCTGCCACTTCCTGTCTTAACACCTGTTTCTCTGAGTTTCGCAGCAGCATGAAAGAAACAAAGATGGCCACACGATTTCACAGCTGGATCACCTCAGAAAGAGAGAGCCACGAGTCGATCCAGCTGCACGGTTCACACCGAAGAAACTGTGTGTCAAAATTGCAATCATACAAATCACTCACAGGAAATATCACACACGCATGCACACACACACAACAGGAGGTGATGTGTCTTGTTTGTCAGGGTATCTGCAGGTTTAAGGGAGCCAAATTTAAGACTTTTTAAGACCTTTTTAAGGCCTCTTTGACCAAATTTAAGCTATTTTTTAAATTAAATTTAAGCTATAATTTCCAGCTATTGCCTGGGGCCGGTGCTAACCACGTCGTGAACGTGGGATTAGCCATCCAGTTACCATTAAATTTGCACTTCCCCATGGCGCAAGCTCCCACTAGCTTAACCAGCTAATGTGCTCATCTAAAAATAGCCCCCTTTCACAACCAACTGAATGTGTACGGTTCCGCTTACGCCAACATCGTACACAAAAAATGCTGAACGCTAACTAGAAATTCACGAAAATTTTTATAGAAATAAAATAATCTTGTTTATTGGGTCTTTGGTAATTTAAGACCTTTGGAAACAGGATTTAAGGATTATTTGTCATTTTTAAGGATTTTCAAGGCCTTAAATTTGGAAAAGCTAATTTAAGACTTTTTAAGACTTTTTAAGGACCCGCGGATACCCTGGTTTGTGTGTGGGCAGCTAAAACAGGTGGTTCTTCTGCACACGAATCAGAGTTCAAGAAACAAATGATTCACAAACATTTATTTGACTTTAACTTCCACATCAAAATCTAGCTCAATATCTGTAACACAAACTTTGTTGTGGCCTTGCTTGTGTTGCTGAAGGTCAGCGGATAGTGGCTTGGATCACGCTAATTCCAATGGTTAATCAGTTGTTGACGTTGATGGTTAATTCTGAAAGTGTAGTTTATATCCATCCATCGAATAATGAAATAATTTCTAACGAACACACTCAGAAACACGCAAAAACCGTATTTCCTGCCTTTTATCTTACGGCAGCGGACAATAAGTCATAAACACAAATCATAAATGTGTTTCACCTATGCACAACATAAAATATGAGTTATTTCCTTCCCTTTTCTTTATTTCACTTTTTCTTTAACAGTTTTTACTTGATAGTTAAGGATTTTAATCATCACATGCCATTATGTTTATTTCCCGCCTTCACAATTTAATGAGTACAACCTGAAGTCCATCTCAGACCACTAAGCTGTTCATTACAGCAAACCTACATGTGTGTGTGTGTGTGTGTGTGTGTGGTGGTGGTGGTGGTGGTGGAGGGGGGGGTCTTAATGGGCTAAGTGATGCTAATGGGATTTAAAGGAGGAACAAATGGCACAGATCAGGGTCAGGACAGCTGGTTGTTGACTTACTCAAGATAAACCAAATTACCTTTACCTCTTTAGTGCAGCAATCCAGAGTCTACCCCTTTTTAGGAATTATGTATGATTTTTTTTTTTAAGAAATCCATGAAAGTGATAGTCCTACCATGTCTTTTTGTCTTGAGTCCCCCCATCCAGTTGAAGCGTCGCTCAGCAAAAGCCAATGGCGTTAAACATCTGTTTACTACCAGGACGTACCTAGACTGATGCTGTTGTGGTGAATTTGCAATAATGCTAGGTTTTGAATCCAAACACGGTCACTCTCCCATCCCCTCAGCTGTTCTGCTCTCTAAATATGTATTGCAGAGTGGGTTATCCATGATTCATGCAACAGGAAGTAGCTTCTGCACATCAACAAACCCTGCAGAACAGGAGAAACTACTCGGTTTATCAGGTAATTAGAGCTGGCCGAGGTAATGCCCCTACATGTACATAATCTGCATAACGGTGTTTAGCTGGAACTTCTAGGAAAAGGCTTAACCCTTCAAATACGGCAGAATAAAGGAGGCATTCACACAGTGCATTTGGTGTGTGTAAGTGTAGTCAAAATGTTAGCTATACTGCACTGATTCAATGTAGAGTAACTAAATTCCTGTAAGAGTGGCTTTATTCATCGAGGACACAAAAGCTTTCATTTGGAAACAGCTTAGACTAAAATAAACAAAAGAAAATACCTGAGGAAGAATTACACTAAAAAAGCAAAGTGATCTACTAGTTCTACATTATGTTGCTATTAAAATGATGTTTAAATGTGTGGAAATAGTCAAATCTTTTCATTTCTGCTCAGAGGAACAATGAGTGGAAGCATTTGTGGTTCTGCTAAGATGACGTGAGAGGTCCGAGGCCTCATGTGTGCTCACAATGAGAAAATGCCCACGCCGAGTCACAGGATGGAGCGCAGACTCTTCTGAATGCAGCGCAACCTCTGAATGAATGAGTGATTCAGCCAGACAACAGATGATTGAATGAGTTTGAAGAGACACACATCAGGGTTCTTTCAGGAGGAGGTGACTCATACAAAATCAAATGATTTAATAAAGCAAAAGGCTCCACAAGGATGCCAACAGCAAAGCAACTGAAGCAGAACTCACCTCCGCAGAGATGCGTCTGTTCCCTTTGTTCCTCAGACAAACGCCCGTAGGCGACTGCACCTCGTCAGAGGACGTACCCGACGCCTGGTCGCTCTCCCCGTCTGACCCCATCTTCATATTCTCGTGGACGATATCTGAGGATGAGGAAGGGCAGAGATAAACAAGTCTGTAGGAGTTCTTTTGGTGACTTTATGAGCGGACCAAGCTCCGGCGTGAATCAAGTCAGGGACACAGAAGAAGTAAATAAAGTTTAAAGACTGACAGTTTTCTTTTCAGGCCAGTGACTCAGAGCCTTATGAGGAAAACGCATATTTTTACCCGAGCCTGAGCGATGTCAGACATCATCATCTGGACACCGTTCCTGTAGCAAAGTGCTGACAATATTGTGGTTCAACCAAATAAATTAAGACTTAAATATGTAACTCAAGGATGTTTGAGGGTTTCTAATGTTTACCGTCAGATTCAGTCAGTTTGAGATCAACTCCGATGTTGACGGGAAACACAAGTTTTGCCTTTAAAGGCAGCAGAAATGCAAACTTTAAATGTGAGCATGTGCAATGTGATGCATCTCACCAAGGCGACTGCTGTTTCGAGGCATCAGCGAGCCCAGACCTCCTCCGATGACGCTCTGCGGCCGTCGTATCGGAGGCTTTTTAAAAGATCCTGTGTACTGGTGAAGGAAAGAGTGGACACTGTGGGCTGAAGGAGGACGGCCATTCTTCACGATGGGCTCTGCAGAAGACCAACATCCACTTAAGACTGAAATAAACCATCCGCTATGGCTCTTGTGTCAAAAGAGATGAGTTTTACAAACACAGAATCCCTCACTACAGGACATCCTTTATCATCGGTGAGAGTAAATTAGGTCAGAAACAAAGAAAAGGACACTTTCGTTGTTAAATCTTGTAAAAAAACTCTTAAATGATTTTGTAAATATCTGTCCACTTCAGAGACAAGTACTGATTTCATCCACAAAATACGTTTTTAAAGTGTTTAAAAAGCCACAGAAGATTTAGTTTTCACTTTCAACAGATTTTTTTTAACAAACAACTAAGAGGTAAGCTATTTCATCTTTTTCTTCTTTACTTAGTTTTTTCGAGACTGAACCTAAAGGGGAAAAAATGTTTTTAAATCCAGGCTTCTGACTAAAAATGTATAATAAGAAAACTTTACATTTAATGTTTGGGAGTAACTATTAACGCAAGTCAGATACAATAAAGTACATTAGCCAAAAAACACCAACCGTAAATGCAGAAGATCTGTATGACTACACTTTTAGTTACTATTTCTATCAAGGCCTAAACGTTTGTCAGCCGATGTCCAGGAGAACTATGCATCTGATTTCTTTCAAAGTAAAGGACAGATGCTAAATCCTGGAAAACCACGCCATGCTGATGACCTCTAGGTCGTCACAAGCTAAAGATGCAAATGCACAAACATTTTCTTTTTGGAAAAATGTCTGATAAAAACTGCAAAAACTCCTGATAAATAAAAGAAAAGTCCCTGTGTTGGACCAAACGTAGGCCGAGGTTCAGAAACAAACACTTACGTAAACAAACAGATGTTCTAATATGAGTTGAGTGTTGGAGCTGATCATCACTGTTTTATTATCCTTTGTCCTGCAGCAATAAAACCACTAGGTCACAGTGTTTTTGCTACTCTAACTTATTAGCAGCACATTAGCAGGCTGAGGTTTGAACTTCCCAACGCGTTGACAAACACCAGACTGTAAACAATGGCCACTATTACACAAGCTGCAACACTTAATCTGTTATAGATTAGCATTGTGACGCTAAAAAACCAATCAAACTGTTCCGTGAACAAACGGATGCATCTTTTTATTTATTTATTTATTTTTTAAATCTTTTATTTTCATTTATTGACATTAAAATAAAAATACAATCAGAACTAAATTGCTGCAAGCCAAAATGAAAAAGGGGACAGAAAGAAGAAAAACTTATGTTGTCTGCCCCTTTTAACTAAAATAGCATTAATACAAATGAAATAATCATATGATTCTTAAGGAAATTGAACAATATAGTTCCTGGACTTGTTGGCCGACAAAATCTCAACCCATGAATTTGAGAAAAAAATAGAAAAAGAAAACAATTTACACAGAAAGAAGCATTAAGTTACAGATCTATATACATACATATATACACATACAAGCACATACTAGGTTAATATTTTGTTCCTTTAATCCCCCCCACCCCCCTCCCCTCACACATTTATGTAACGGATCTACATAAGTTAATCGTTTTATTTTTTATCTCTTTTTTGAAAGTCAATATTGTTTTTGCACTCTTGAGTTCAGTATTCAATTTATTCCACAATTTAACTCCATATATGGAGACACAATGTTCCTTTACGAGTATCCGATGTCTAGGTATGTTAAATAATTCATGTCCCTTTAAATCATATTTACTATGTCTTTTTGAAAATCGTTTAATTAATCCTGCAGGTACGTTCCTTTTGTTTGCATTATACATAAATTTTAAAATAATGTAGTCCACCAGATCATAGAATTTTAGTGTTTTTAATTTAATAAATAATGGATTGGACGGATCTCTGTAGTTGCTCCTTGTGATTATTCATATTGCATCTTTAAATTCAGTGCAAGAAAAAAAATCTTTCAGAGAAAAGAAATAATAGCAACGGAAAAGGAGAACGTTCAGACGCTGTTCAAACCACTCAACAATGTGAAAAGTTTATCACACTGGTGTGGTTTGAAATAATCCAACCTTAAACTGCTTTTTCTAATAATAATCACAGAAATCCCACCGTTCTGGGCACTTGTATTAATAAACATAGACAAAGCCGAGGGGGGTGGTGTGATCTGTTCTCTCCACGTGTTTCTCCTGTGATCTGAACTATAAAATATAAAAAGCAGAAACATAAGTAAACACATCTGTATTCTGTTGTTCAGGCTGGTACAAAACAGGTCTGCTGACTAACGGGAGTGTTTTCTCCAACAGGGCTGAAAGATTTATTAGGTATAAAACAACACCCAGTTAAACAGCAGCTCTGCCACCGAGGAGATCACGGAGCTACAGAGAGCGGGTGGGCCAAGTTTGGACCAGAGGAGGGGTTAGCATCAGGCTCTGGAGAGGATATGGTCCTATCAGAGGGCCGAGTTATGGATTACACAGATTAGTGTGTGTCTCTGTCAAAGCAGGGTCAGAGGGAAAGATGTTTTTATGTGTTTATGGTGGACGGATTTGTCTGGTTTCCAGTTTTCAGCATTAGCAGATCCCCAGAGTGTTTTTGACATAAATCTTGATGCTAAAATAAAACTAAAATGAGGCTCAAAAGTGCCATGGCTGTTTGGTTTGAGTTATGAAATCAGATTTCCGAAATAGTCCGATTAATCCCTTGTTTCAAAAACTTTTTGTCCCACCACAAAATCAAATTAGGGTTTTTTCTTCCATCTTGTACCACTGCTGAGCACACAGTGGCTTTTTATAAGCCATTCCTAGAATTTGCATGACTATAGGAAAACATACAGCCGTGTAATTTCAAAGTCCTTATGTCAACTCCTCTCTATGGCCGAGCAGCTGGGCCTAGTTCTAGGGTTACATAAGCAGATCAGAACCAGAACGCTCTCCCCAACCGTTCAGTTCTAACCAAATCTCATCTGGTCTCTGCCCTGCTGGCTGCTAAACAGCCTGTTATGTCCTCGCATGTCTCACACACACAGCAAGACCCCCCTCCCTCCAGCAAGCACATAACACTGCGACCAAACTCTGCATTTATCACAACACAAAAGGATCGTTACAAAGCTCAGTTGGTTCTCAGAAGGAGGAGGCGGTGCGGTGAGAGGAGAAAGGATGGGGGAGCTCAGATGTTCTCACAAGGTAGAGGAGGACGATGGAGGGAGGGACAAGGGGGTCAAAGCTGAAGACAAACAGCTGAGACATGAATAAAGATGCTTGGCTGGTTTCTCCAAGTTATCTCAATTGCCGTGGCAATGTCATGGAAACTCTAGAGGGTTTCCAGACCCTGGGCGCCATGGCAACAGCGTGGCAGCAAACCCAGGCGTGCCCCCTCTCTTGCGCCTAGCAGATTAGGTAAATCCAAACAGAGATGGGTGCAGCGGTGACACCCTTCATCAGGATCCACACCAACAGTCAAACGTGTCAGTGTCAAACCCACCAGAACAAAGTATCTACAGAGAAGTAAAGAAAGATGGACGTCTGACAGGCTGACCTCAAGCAACAACCGGTTGTTTATTTTATGTTCTCTTTGTTTATAAAATTTTTAAGACAAAAGAAGTTCAATGAGTAACAGACTAGAAATAAGAACAGAAAACCCTTTGCTGTTGACAAGGACTAAAGAGGAAGTCTAAAGTGGTGTTGCTGACTGAAATCTAAAGAAAACACCTGGTGGTGGTGCATTCTTACTCGGTTTAGTAAACAATTAGAGTGGTGCCAATAATTATGTTTGTGTTTCACTTTCGGTTTTATTTCCACATAAAGTTTAACCGCCACTAAACAGCTTGAAATAAAAACAACAAAACATTGTTTATGATAGGTTTACATGTATAGACATAAAATCTAAACATACAGCTACAGCCAACAAGGAAGGAATACAGTGATCCCTCGTTTATCGCGGTAGATGCGTTCCAGACCTGGCCGCGATAGGTGAAAATCCGCGAAGTAGGGACTCCCAGCATGCCCCTCGCGGGGATTCCCTCCACGTCGCACCTACGTCACAAACCGCGGCTATAAACGGAAGTCGCCTTTCCAGCTCACCACTCAGTCATCGTTTCTTCAGATTCATGATCAGAGTTTCCAACCTACCAATCAATCCAACGAACTGTCAGCTCATAGTAAGTTATCTTACTTACTTCTGGAAAGCCCGGCATTTCCGTGTCACTTCGTTGACGCTCGAACGCTCGGGGGTTTCCTAGATTACAGGTGCTGGCCAGTAAATTAGAATATCATCAAAAGGTTGAAAATATTTCAGTAATTCCATTCAAAACGTGAAACTTGTACATTATATTCATGCAATGCACACAGACCAATGTATTTCCAATGTTCATTACATTTAAATTTGATATTCATAAGTGACAACTAATGAAAACTCCAAATTTGGTATCTCAAAAAATTAGAATATTCTGAAAAGGCTGAATATAGAAGACACCTGCTGCCACTCTAATCAGCTGATTTACTCAAAACACCTGCAAAGGCCTTTAAAAGGTCCCTCAGTCTTGTTTTGAAGGCACCACAATCATGGGGAAGACTTCTGACTTAACAGCTGTCCAAAAGACAATCATTGACACCTTGCACAAGGAGGGCAAGACACAAAAGGTGATTGCTAAAGAAGCTGGCTGTTCGCAGAGCTCTGTGTCCAAGCACATTAACAGACAGGCGAAGGGACGGAAAAAATGTGGTAGAAAAAAGTGTACAAGCTCTAGGGATAACCGCACCCTGCAGAGAATTGTGACGACAAACCCATTCAAAAATGTGGGGGAGATCCACAAAGAGTGGACTGCAGCTGGAGTCAGCGCTTCAAGAACCACCACGAGGAGACTCATGAAAGACATGGGATTCAGGTGTCGCATTCCGTGTGTCAAGCCACTCTTGAACATGAAACAGCGCAAGAAGCGTCTCGCCTGGGCCAAGGACAAAAAGGACTGGACTGATGCTGAGTGGTCCAAAGTTATGTTTTCTGATGAAAGCAAGTTCTGCATTTCCTTTGGAAATCAAGGACCCAGAGTCTGGAGGAAGAGCGGAGAAGCACAGAATCCACGTTGCATGAGGTCCAGTGTAAAGTTTCCACCGTCAGTGATGGTGTGGGGTGCCATGTCATCTGCCGGTGTTGGCCCACTCTGTTTCCTGAGGTCCAGGGTCAATGCAGCCGTCTACCAGGAAGTTTTAGAGCACTTCATGCTTCCTGCTGCTGACCAACTTTATGGGGATGCAGACTTCACCTTTCAACAGGACTTGGCACCTGCACACAGTGCCAAAACCACCAGCACCTGGTTCAAGGACCATGGTATCCCTGTCCTTGATTGGCCAGCAAACTCGCCTGACCTTAACCCCATAGAAAATCTATGGGGTATTGTGAAGCGGAGGATGCAATACGCTAGACCCAACAATGCAGAGGAGCTGAAGACGACTATCAGAGCAACCTGGGCTCTCATAACACCTGAGCAGTGCCACAGACTGATCGAGTCCATGCCACGCCGCATTCCTGCAGTTATTGAGGCAAAAGGAGCCCCGACTAAGTATTGAGTGCTATACATGCACATTCTTTTCATGTTCATTCTTTTCAGTTGGCCAACATTAGAGAAACAAACATTTTTTCATTGGCCTTTAGAATATTTTAATTTTCTGAGATACCAGATTTGATGTTTTCATTGGTTGTCACCTATAAATATCAAAATTAAACGTAATAAACATCGGAAATACATTGGTCTGTGTGCATTGCATGAATATAATGTACAAGTTTCACGTTTTGAATGGAATTACTGAAATATTTTCAACCTTTTGATGATATTCTAATTTACTGGCCAGCACCTGTAATCGTGAGCCGGCGTTTCACCGACGCTATCACTTCCGCGTCTGTGAAACCACGCTCCCTACAAGCTCAACTCCCGAATCCAGCCGACCAGTCTGACATACAGTACTATATTGAATTATCGTATGATCACATTCTCTTTTTGTGGGTAAAACTCAAGAAAAAAAATTTTTTTACTTGGTTTTTTTATAGTTTTATTACAAAAAGTGCATTTTATGATGAAATTGATGAAAATAAACAGGAATTTCTTGACATTTCGCATAGAAAAATACCGCGAATCGGCGAATTTCTCTTGAATAAGGCTCCAAAAAAAATCCGCGAAGTCGTGAATCCGCGATAAACGAACCGCGAAGTAGCGAGGGATCACTGTACTTCAGTGGACAAAGACTACACTATATACCAGTGGTCCGCAAATGGCGGCCCGCTAGCCCTCTCTTTGTGGCCCCCAAACCCCGCGCGCACCCCCCACCCCCACCCCCGACGGCCGACTGGGAGGTGTAGGATAGAGCTGAGAAAAATAATCAAATAATCGATGCATCGGGATGCGGACATAAACGATTCCGCATCGTAGGAGCGTACGCCATAATCGATTATAGTGGAATGTAGTTTTGTTTTTTTAACGGCGGCACCAGCGCAGCATCCAAATCTGTCAGAGTGAGCGTCCTCCACATTTACCAAGTGGTTCCGCCTTAATGTGGTACTGCAGGGCTGAGCGCTGGATTTGTAACCTGAGACCAAACCGAAACTGAATCAGCCCGACTGGTTCTGTTGGATTTGGGCGGTGAATTATGTTAATTGAGCGGGTTGTCATGCGGCGCGCTCCGCTCGCTCGATCTGCAACTGAGAGAGAGAGACACTGTCTGCTCACACAAGAGAGAGGATCGGAGGACTAGGGCTGCAACTAACGATTATTTTCATAATCGATTAATCTGTCGATTATTTTTTCGATTAATCGATTAATCGGTTTGTTATTGTTTAGCTATTTAACCTATACAAGTGATAGATGCATTTCAGTTAAGAACAAAAAAACATAAGAGAATTGTGCAGTTGACTGCAATCTATTTTATTGCACATGAACACAGTCAGCAGTATAAAATGAGCTAAACAGTGCAAAATATCAGTCCAGAATAATTTTTAGCATTAGCTGGAAGCCTGCTCCTTCCACCATGGATAGTGGCCTCATTTCTTTTACCAGCATGTTTAGAATAGAGTTTGTAAGTGGTATGAATTGCTGGGGGGTGAGTGTCTTCTTCCCCATGTAGTTGTCCATCGTTGCTTGTTTTTTTCTGCATAAGAAACACAAATAGACTGAAATAAGTACACATATAAAATAAAGCAGCACACACACTACAACACTAAATCAATATTATATTATTTGAATTAATTAACAATATACAGTGATCATTTATTTTGAGGGTTACGTTCTACAAAATAGCCCGCAACAGGAGATATTCAGAAAAAAAGTAAAACATTTTTACTATTAAAAAGCTCTAAGTAAGAAGCTCATGAGGTTTTTACTTTGAGTCGGGAGTGTTTAAATTAGCCAGAGAAATGTGAAAAATGTTTATTTTGTGTAATACTGTTTAAGAAACATGATAAAAATGTGTTGTGAGGCGTTTTACAGCGTTAGATAGTAAAACAGCCTTTTAATAGTAAAAAAATGACTTTTTCTGAATTTCTCCTGTATTTAAAAATTGAAAGTGTACAACTATGCCGCGTTATATTCACCTGGACACAGCTTGTCTGTATATTTTTCTCCGCGGAGTTGTCCTTTTTTGAATGAGGAACATAGTTATGGGTTTGTGCCGTTTTTCTCTTAACGAGAACATTCTTATAAACAGACGTGCTAAATTTGGCAAGCGCATGATACACAACACGGAGGAGATTCATGATTGCATCTAGTCAATCAGAAGTAGAACACCGCAGACTGACGCGGCAAAAAAACATGTTTAACATCCACTATAACGAACTCAGCTAAAACACTAAGTCCAGCTTGTTTATTTTCTGTTACTTACCGGGCTGGCTCTTCCAAATGACGGCTCACTTGACCGCGGTGCTCTTCCTCTGCTGCATCAGCCCCCACATGCTTTCGTCTCAAATGTGCTCCCATACTCGTGAGGTTTTTGTCCGGGGTTTCTCTTCAGTTTTGTCGCTTCTATTTTTCTTCCGTATTTCCTCTTGTTCCGCCATTTTCTCACAGCAAGATGAGCGTCAGTAACGTGATACGTCATGAAAACCGAGGGCACCCATTGGCTCATTTCTTCTTCTACGGCTCCACTGGTAGATCAGTGGCTCATTACTGCCACACACTGGCGGCAAATTTAACAGCTTGTAACCGATGTCAGATTGTGGTAAAAAATAGACTTTATGCGGTAAAATATGATTATTAAACAACTAATCGATGACTAAAAAAGTTGTTAACTATTTTAATAATCGATTATAATCGATTAAATCGATTAGTTGTTTCAGCTCTACGGAGGACGCTCCTTCAGACCGATGCTCCAAACACGCATTATTATTTTCATAATTTAATTATTATTTCTCCTGGAAGCGCTCAGTCAGACTGCTTGTTGTAATGTAGGGAGATCCGGTCTTGAGGAGGGGGCAGGGTCAATGACGGCGGCTGCAGCGTAATCATCCGTCTCTTTTATTTAGGGACACAGAGAAGTTAAAAGGAGAGAGAAATAGAAGATAGAAGTTCTTGTTCCACTTTATTCTTTTGTTTCATGATGATAAACTGATGTTAAATTCAGCTTAAAGAGAAACTGGGAGGAAGCTTTGGTTCATTTTAAGTTACAGGAGATCTTGTTTCCTATCTGCTCCTCCAGAGAAAGCATGGACATGAGGGTTACATGATGAGGGTCACACAGGACAGGTTAGTGCAGTCACACAGCCGAGCTGGAGGGGCACAGATGTTGTCCTTTATATTGCAAGCTTGTGTGCATTTGGGGAGTAAATTTTTTAGCTCTACCTGCCACCTGGCGAGTAAATGTTTGCACCAAATTAGTTATGTTTATCAGTCATCCTCCATGGATGTCTGATACTCCTCCCGCCTGCATGCAACGTACACAAACGTACGCGAAACGTGAATGCCGCATCCAACGTCATTTCCACCTATCCCATTCAATCAGTTTATCAAGTTAGCGGTTAGCTTCGTGTTAAAACTAGCGGTGAAATGTGGCGGTTTTTAACTGGAGTCAGCCAGCCTTCCAAAAGAAAACTTGTCGAACTGGAAGAAAAACCACCAGGACCAGTGGCAACCAGAAGATTTTGTGAAAAGTGGCGAACTGGAGATGGCGGAGTCGTGAGACAGGCTACATTATGATGGCCACGTAGCGTTGCTGCCTTTCACAGACAACTGTCCCTCGGCATTCTTCAAATATCCAAAAAATGCCCGTACTTCCGACTTTGTCTTCTTTGAGGGATAATAAATGTCCCAAGTGCTGCCGTCTCCTCCTGCCATTATTTCAGCTTTAGCTTAAAGAACGTTTTGGTTGTAAACAACAAAGTGCGCATGTGCCGCCGGCAACTTCAGATGATACGGTGGCTGGTAAGGGTCACCGCGCCTACACCGCAGCCACGGTAATCCACCGAGATAATATTTTTTTTTTTTAAAACAAGACGGTTATCATTATTGTCAACTTTTTTACCGGGGTTTACCGCTACACCGGTTACCGTGACAACCCTAGCCCTGACACACTTTCAGATATTCTCATGGTGCAGCTGTGTTCTCCAGAGATCAAGGACTATGACCCAAATGAGGCTGTAATGCTTTGGCACAAAGACGGTGTCAGAGGCAGGAGGCCAGACTACATGGACAGAGAAAACAAGGAGTCTGACTAGATTTCAATGAAAGAGTTCATAAAAACATCTCTAAAAATAAATAAATAGTAAAAATGACAAAAGAGTTGTTTTTCTTATTAATTGATGTTTTAATTATTTTGTCACTCTGTTTGGAATCAACATAATATAGAATAACATGCTTTAGGTAGATCTAAATCATTTAGAATTTTGGCCGTTAAAAATATGCTTGGCCGGTAGATTTTCATCATCTACCGGCCAACTTGGCCGGTGAGTAAAAAATTTAATTTCGGACCCTGCTTGTGTGTTCTGAGCATTACAGCCAGGGATCCAAACAGCAGCAGCACCCCCTGCATGCATGCAGTTTCTCAGTGACTTTAAAACATCACCACCACCATAAAACTTTTCTGATGCTCCAAATAAAGAAAAACATCCCTTACCAGGTTTTTTTGATTAAATAAAAAATCTGAAAATAAGTTTAAATGTTAAATAATAGTTAACATCACTTAAATGCAACAGCAAATTCTCTCATTGCTACTGAGCATTTTCTCCACTTATGTGGTTATGATATAAGGCTGTTGCTGTAATTGGGAAGTGAACTGTGCCGGGCCAAACTAGGAGAAAATTAAGATTTTCTGAGGGAAAGAGAAAAACAATTGTCTACCTTTCAGAAGAGGAACTGGCAAAAAACTACATGGAAAATATGTGAAAACGTTTGGTTTTAATCCCAAATTGAACAAGTTTACCTAGATCTTAAAAAGCAGCTCAGATGATGAAACTGCAACTACGATTCTGATAACAAGCTAACAAACCGGAGCCTGGGGCTAACATCACCACCCGGTGAAACACTAGCGACATGAAGGTGGGTTGGTTCACCGGCACGTGTCGGAGTCAGCCCTGTAAAAATGATTAACGACACCGAGCGGACTCACATTCACGTTTGAAAGCAGCGCTGATTCCAGAAACCTCAGTACAAAGTGCGTTCGTTAATCTGAGCCAGCATGACGAACAAGGTAACGGCGCCGCTAACTCAGTTCGGGTATTGCGTTCCACCTAGGGCTGCAACAACGAATCGATAAATTCGATGAAAATCGATTACTAAAAGCGTTGGCAACGAATTGCGTCATCGATTTGTTGTGTCGCACAACTCTTACAAAAGCGCCCCCCCTTCCCGCCCGCCATTGCGCGCAGACCAGAGCAAGTCAGATCAGCGCGAGGGAGAGCCGGCAGATCAGCGCAAGGGAGAGCCGCAGATCAGCGCGAGGGAGAGCCGCAGATCAGTGCGAGGGAGAGCCGGCAGATCAGCGCGAGGGAGAGCCGCAGATCAGCGTGAGGGAGAGCCGGTACCGGCAGATCAGCGCGAGGGAGAGCCGCAGATCAGCGCGAGGGAGAGCCGGCAGACTTGCGCTGTTGCGAACCGGTTCCGCATTGTTGCGCAGCGATCCAGGCAGCTGCTTCCAGCGCACGGTCCATTCTCAAAGTGGCGCAACCAAAAAACTATAATTAGCACACGATCGTTCATGTCCGCACATGTTCTCTATTTTCTGTCTTATTTGTGCCTGAAGCTCGCTACTGCGGAGCTCATCACCTGTGCTGTGGTGATGTCACCTCACGCAGCATCGAAAACGCGCTCTGCGCTTTTTGGTCAGGAGATCTCTTTGATCTGCTCAAAAGTAACTGATGAGGTGAAAAGGTAAGAATCCAGGCAACAGATTTTCTGAAGAATTAAGAGGAGATGCAGGAAGATGAGAGACAGACAGGACAGGAAAATAGTTAAATAAAAACAAGAAAACGAAACAAAGTGTTGAAAAGTCAAATGTAGGTAGATTTATCTCCACTACACGTTTTTACCAGTAAAAAACAATAAGTTATACACATGTTATATTTATACATCTGATACAATTCAGATCACCTTCAAAACTCAGTCACACACCCAGGGCCGTTTCAAGACATTTTGGGGGCCAAGGCAAAATGCCCCCCCCCCCACCACCCCCACAATAACTGGGCTCCCCAATTCATGCCCTCTCCAGTAGTGTTAGTTATATGGTGTTTATAAAAGCCCCTCAGACATTACTGACATGTTCTAATATTATCAGATGAAAAACTAAATTATCAGACATGCTGTCTCATCTGCTTCTTTTATAAACTTGCAAAAAGTAACAAAACCATTTGAAAGCCACTATTTGTGGATTCTCTGAAAGTTTCCATGGAGTGTGTGACAACTTATTTTTTCATTGATCCTATCGTCTAATCTCACAGCTGAAACAAGCATCCTTAATAATCTGTGCACAGGAAGCTTACCGATGCTGTAGTAAAACAAAAGGTATAATAATTTATTATTAATAAAACCTTGTTGCAGCACTAAAGCAGAAAAATTAGATTTTGCATTAAATATGCAAAATATTTACATATGAATTGTTTTAGAGCCCTTTAATTGGCAGAATCTGATATTAATTTAGTTCTTACAAAAAATGGGTCCCAACATGGTTTGTGTGGCGTTGCCATAGTGTGACGTCATAGGCACATATGACCTG